GTGCTCAGGCAAGACCATGGTTCTCTCCTCTTCCTGCATCCTTTGAACCCGGCAGTTCCACCACTTCCAGTAATTTGCTGTCAAATCTTGGGTCCAGGAGGAGCAAGTTAGAGAAGGGAGACTTAGGAGAAAGTGTTTGGCTTTGCTAATGGATTGTGAGGCTTTTTTTTTGCTTTTGGTCCTTTTTTCTCGATCCCTTTTCTTGCCAATGGCTTTCTCCTCTTTGTGTAGATGATTAAAGTGCTTAAGTGTCTTGTAAGTCTAGCATCTCTTTCCTCAGTTTAAAAAGAGCTCATTTAAAAATGAATAACTAATACGTATTTATAACAGGAACAGTAGAAAAATGCTGATAAGCATAAAGAAGGGGGAAGATATGTGAACCCAGCTCCCAAAGATAACCATTATTAAAAATCTGATAAGTAATATTTCAGATTTTTTTATATGTTCACATATTTTCTTAGAAAACGGGATTGTATTAAATAACTTTTGTAACTTATGTTTTTCACTTAACCTATGCTGAATATTTTTCCATGCTAACATACTTCAACAACAATATTTTATAATGATTGCATAGTGCTACATCTTATGAATGTGTTATAATTTACTCAACTACTTTTGGCTCATAGATTGTTTCTAATTTTTTGATTTTCAAACAATGCTATGAGAAACATCCTCAGACATATGCAATTTATATTCCTTTCTTGGAATATATCTCCAGAAGAGGAACTGCTGAGTTAAAGGGCATTCACACTTTTAAAAAGTTTTTGCTAGTATTACAAAATTATCTTCCTCACATGTTGTACGAATTTATATTCTTGCCAGCAGAGTATGAAGGTGCTGTTTTCCAAACCTCCTGCCAACGTTGGGAATTATCATTTTTTCATCTTTGTCAGGTTTATCGATAATAAATGGTATCTTATCATTGTTTAATTTGTACTTTTCTTTTAGGAAAGCTGAATATTTTTTTCATATGTATTTCTAGAACAGTGCTAAATGTTGATAGTGATAATGGGCCTTCTTCTTGTTGGTGATTTTAATGTTAATACCTCTAATATTTCACTATTAAGTATACTGCCTCTTTGGGGTTTGTGATAGATAGTCTTTACCATGTTAAGAAGAATTCTTCTTTTTTTTTTTTTCCTTTTTGTCTTTTTCACTGACCGGTAACGGGATCGCAACCCTTGGTGTCGCTCCTGTACCGGGGACTGGCAACGGGATCGCAACCCTCGGTGTTGCGCCCGCACCGTGCTCAGCCAGCGAGTGGGAACCGGTCTCCACATGGGATCCGAACCCTCAGCGGGAGCGCCGCTGAGCTCCCAAGCGGCGCACTCTCCAGTGTGCCACCGGGCCGGCCCAAGAAGAATTCTTCTAACTTCATTTTATTAATTAAAAAATTGATATTAAATTTTATCAAATGACTTTTCAAGATCATCTATTGTGATAATCTGAAAGCTTTTCTCCATTGACTTATTTCTGTCTTCATTATGCTAATAAATTCCTTAATATTGAGATATTTTTACATCTTTAGGGTAAATTATATTTATACATGAGGTTAGTCTATGGTTTCCTTTATTAAATTTTATCATTGTTTGTTTTTAAGTCAGGGGTATTATGCTAGCTTTCATTGACTTTTGTCCACTTGATCATTTCATATAGCCTGGAAATTATCTGTGGCTTGAAGCTCAAAGAGAACTTGATTGTGTAAGTAATCTAGACTAAAAACGGTTCTTGGAAATAATTTCTTAATAACTTTTACATTTTCCCATGCTTGTTGACCTGTTGTTTTTCAACTTCTTCTTAAGTCAGTTTGCCTCTAATTACTGTGTTGGCTGTGCCACACAATATCTGATATGTGGTAATCTCATTATTGAAACCTTCTAAGCATGCTATAATTGCCTTCTTGATTGCTTTCCCAATCAATGATTTTTTAAAAGAAGAGTTATAAAGCTTTTCTAAGAGGCTGGCTCTTTTTTGACTACACTTTTGCAATTAATTTATAGTTTTATTACGGTGTGATCATAGAATGTGGCCAGAATAATTTGGTGGAGGGAGGGGGGAATTACTTAAGATTTTTTGGTGGCCTAATATAAACTCAAGTTTTACAAAGTTTTCTTATCTTTTCCTAAAATAAACAGAAGATCCCTCTCTTTAGTCATTCATTTATTCACTGAGCATTATTTCAGCCATGTGTCTCCTACGTGTCAGGCATTGTATTGGGCATTGCAGGATACAAAATGAATAGGTCATAAACTTTCTCTAAGGTGGACAAAGTTTAGATGGAACATAGACACATGAAGACCCAATCATAATAAAGTAAGAAATGCAACAGCAGTGGAATGTACAAAAGGGAAAGTCAGCAAAGAATTAGAACCAAGCCCTATCATAGGTTCTGGGAATACAAAGATGCCTAACATACCACCATGGCCCCAAGAGGCTTTCAATCCTAAAGTGTGAAAGATAAACTGAGGGCAAGAGGCAGGCTTTTTGAAGACAAGACGACTAATTAGGAAACCACTATTGTCATTTGGTAATAAATGAAGAAACCACTACAGTCATTTGGTAATAATAGAGCATATGAGAAATGTTACAGAATAAGAACAGAACAGGGGATTTTCCCTTTTAAGGGACAGATAGGAGAGAATTCCACAAAGGAGGCTGCAGGAGGTAGGGGTAAAATTTTACAGAAGCCACAGGAGAACATTTCAGGGAGCTCTGGCTCAGTTGGGTCAAATGTAGCTGAAAGGTCAAGTAATCTAAAAGCAAAAAGTTGTCCATTGCCCTTGTCTCTGGTGACCGGGGAAGGCAGTTTCAGTGAAGTGGAGGGAAGAAGCCAGACGAGAAGCAGGTTGAGAGAGGGTGGAGGCAAGTTTTATTCCAGAAGCTTAGTTGTAAAGGGAATGAGTGAGTTAGGGTAGTCATTAAAGGAGCAAAAAAATCAAAAAGATTGCTGTCAGTACATTAAGCAATGTGAGCATGTTTGGGTAATGACGAGAGTGAGCTGAGAGGGAGAGAGGGTACGTTGTTATTGAGAGGGTCCTGAACAGGCGGGAGACACAGGGCGAGACACAAAGCCTGGGCGGAAGATGGCCTCTGCCAGGAGGGGGCACCTCTTGTAGGCAGCTGGGGCCGACAGGTGGGATCTCTCATTTCTTTGCAAGGTTGGAAGAAGGTGGTGTTGTAGAACCTTCGGTCATACTCCTGGGCCAACTGGAAGTGCCCAGGGTCTTGGTCTCTGCTTGGACAGTTTGCTTCACAGGTACGATGCAGGATCTGTCCCTTCCTCCTCATCTATACTTATCTTGCCTGAGGCTGCTGCTCCATTGGTCATTGAAGGGTTTCCAGAAATCTCTCTTTCTTTAACTATGTGGTATGCAATGGATTGTGGGAATAATTAACCCAGTCAATTCTAAGTAAAGTGATTGGCAGATGCCAGCAGGTCACAGAAGTTTCTGTTACTGTAAATGCAACTAAATCAAAACAATGTTTTACATCCTCAATAGGCCTCCTTTTCTATTTCTGATTGGAGATAGTCACATCAATACATGAGCAAAAATCCCTGGGAAAGTGACCTGTATTTTCGTGCATTATGTTTTGATGGCTGAAGTTTATTTCTATTGCTAGCTTTAAGCTCTTAGAAAGAGATATATTTTGATGCTTGCAAAACGTTTCCATTTGCACTTCAGGCTCTCACAAGTTGATAACAAATTAGTATGGCAAGACTGAGGTTTTTTTTTTTGTTGTTGTTCTTTTTCTGTTATTCTGGAAAACACTCTAACCTTTGTATGGAGGGAAACTTCTGGTTTGATTAACACAAAATAATTGTGAGACAAAGCCCAGACATGAAATATTTCCCACACCAGCTCCTATATTGAGTAACAGCTCACATATAAAAAAATCAAGGTTGACAGCTTAACAGGTTTATTATGGTTCAGAAATCCCCTGGGGGATTTTTAACCATGTTTTCTGGATGTTCATTTTGCCAAATAAGCCAATCTCTGTCATATCTCTACCCTGAAGGGTGAACTCAGGCACTGATTTTGGGAAATGTCACCTTTACTGTACCAAGAAGTCAGACACCCAAGGTCAGATACTATCCAAAGTCAGATGCTCTGAGGGCTTTCCTTGGAGAGGAGAGAAAGGTGAGAAAATCAGCTCAGGAGAGAAGGAGGAATTCCACAGATGCTCCAGGATGGTTGGCCACCTTTGTAAGCAGCACAGAAAATGGCAGGTTGGTCCAACTTCACAGCACACCAAAGGCAGCAGCTGTGCATCTGGGAAGTGCTTGTAAACCTAGTGATCATTTCGGTTTCCACTTGCACTCACTGATAATCTCAGCTGCTCTGCTGTGCCCCCAGATGTGGACACAGTCCAAAAGACAACTCTGGGGCAGCGTGGTCTTAAGATACCTGACATAATTTCCACGAGCTCTTTAGGTACAGCTGCACTCAATAGTCCTCATTAACCCCTCACATATTTGCCCCTCACTTGGCACAGCAGCCCTGGCCTTGGTGAATTTTTTAAATTGAAATGTAGTATACACATTTATGGGGTACAGAGTTATATTTCAGTGCGAATATACAATGTGTGATGATCCAATCAGGGTAATTAGCATATTCATCACTGCAAGACCTAATCATTTCTTTGTCGGGTGAACACTGGATCCCCTCTCTTCTAGCCATCTGATAACATGCAATAAATTATTGTTAATTATAGATGCCTAGCTCGGCTGTACACCCATAGAACTTATTTGTCCTATCTAGCTGTACTTTTGTGTCCTTTAACCAACCTCTCGCTGTGCCCCCTGCCCCCAGCCCTGGCCTTTGCAAGCCAACCTGAGCATTCTCAGAGGGTTAGTGAGGGTCTGCCTTCCTCAGGACGTCCATTTAGCCCTGTGGTTCTTCTGACAAATTGGAACCTGGGATCCTGGAGAAAATAAAACCAAGCAGACTGATGTGTTTCGGGGCACGTGGAATATAGAGCAGCTTCCACCTGCTGTGCCGGTCGGTGGTTCCTTTTTCTGGCTGTTGCAGAGCCTGGGTGAAAACCTGAGTGAGGTGGGAGCCTAGAGATGACGAGTCTCCCCCCACCCCCACCCCAACACGATTAATTTTCCACTTGCAGTGACCTGCCGTCCAGGGTGATTTATCAGCTGTTGGGCGTTTGTCACTAAAACAAAACAAGCCGTGGAATGTGCTGCTCTGTGCCCATGAGATGGCTGGAGAAGGTTCGCGGGTGGGGAGAATAATGATCTTCAGTTTCTGACCTGCTGGCAGGGCGGCGGGATTTATCAGGAGGCGCATGTGACTGGTTAAGACACAGAGCCCCAGCCTGGAGGAAACAGCTGCTCACAGCGTGCTCGGCCCTTGGCAGCAGGACAGGCGGGCGCTGATGTGAGGAACACCGCACAAAACCACCCCAGTAAGTCACTGGAGAACTTTCCCGCCGGTGTGTGTACGTGTGCACGTGTGGGTGTTGCAAGCCACCAACAACTTTTGATTTTGATTTTGGTTTCTCTCTGGCACTGTAGATGGAGATGTTTGATCTGTAGCTGTTCATAGCTGTTTGTGTTTTCACTGACTCTTTTAGAACCTGTTATTTTCAGCAAGGCTGTCTTCTGGCTTTGGGGAGGAATGGGGCATATTGCTTATTCCTACCTAGGAAACAGCAAGTTTATTTCTAAGTGTCCAGGGTTTTTATGGTCCGTGGTATGTAGGTTCAAAACCAAGATTCAGAGTATGTAGCAGAGAACTGATTGAAGTGAGTGGATGACTAGATTTGATTTTAATCAGTTTTTACCATTGAAACTTGAAAACACAGCGGTTTAAAATAACTTGTGAGTTTATTGTATGGGTGATGACCATTCCTAGTCAATTTTGAAGAACATCTTATTCAGCTGTGTATAACAGTCCGCAATACAGAAAACTGAGAAAACAATATTTAGATTTAGATTAGAAATCTAAATCATATTTAGATTTCATGCCTGCTTTCCAGTTCATTGAAAAGCTATATTTTATAGCTCTTTTCTTCAACAAGCCAATTCACCTTCATTACTTTAAAGCTAGAATTTAGTTGTCCCTGGTCTTCCCCATTTTAGTGTTGTTATGATGCTCAGGGGCTTTCTTCCTCGTTTAAGGCCTTATTTATTTATTCTAACAATGCTGCCTGAAGCTGACTATCAACTCTGGGGGGCCTGGAATCCGAATGCCCGGGGGGGGGGGGGGGGGGGGGGGGGGGG